TGATTCATCATTTACATACAATACCAAGTGCTCATCACAAGTGCCCTCCTTAATACCCATCACCCATTTGTTTTTGAAGATAATTTTTACTGGATATATAATTGGAGGTTGACATTTTTTTTTCCTTTTCAGTACTTTTTAACATATTATGTTGCTTTCTGGCTTCCATTGTTTCTTACATAATGTGCCCTGTTTTACTTTTGGCTCTTTTCTTATTTATCTTTTGTTTTTAGCAGTTGGACTCTCATGTGCCTGGGTGTGGCTTTTCTTGGAATTTCTCCTGCTTACGTATAACTGAGCTTCTTGGATCCATAAGTCAATGTTTTTCATCAAATTAAGAAAATGATTGGCTATGTTTCTTGGAATTTTTATTTTCTACCACCTGATTACTTTTTTCTCCTTTCAGGATATCAGTTACATGTATGTTAAGCTGTTTGATATTGTCCCATAGGTCTCTGAGGTATTGTTCCATTTTCTTCAGTATTGTTTTGGTTTTTGCCTGAGTGAAATTTTCAAATTAATTTCTATTGATCCGTCTTCAAGTTCATTGAATGTTTTTTTCTGCCATATCCAATATTCTGTTATGCATAGTTAGTGAATTTTTCATTTTAGTTCTTGTGCCTGAGTTAGGGACTAGGGAAAGAATGTAACAGGAATGAGGTAGGGGCTTTATTAGTAAAATGGGTCTGATAGTGAAAGAAAGAGAATAATGCTACATTTCAGTTTTGCTTTTCTAATCAATATTCTCTGTATAGACATTTGTTTCTTATGTATTTTATTCTTATGTTTATTTTCCATTTCCCTGGTATTTTCTTTTGTATGAAATACAGTTTTATGGATTACAGTTGGTTTTCTACTTCATTGCATTTAAAGTCTTATCAAATACTTAGTATTGTCAAACTTTTTTGCGTTTGGCTGACTAATGTGGTGTTTCTTATGTATTTTATTAATAAAGTGCTGTGATTCAATTTTCTTTCTAACAAATTATCAATACAAGTTACTACTGAGTTGTATCTAGTTGTAGCATTTTTATTTTGTGTGCTTGATATAGAGGCATTTAAATGATACGGTTGTTTGCTAAGTTCTTTTCTTCTGATTATGCAGTCTACTAACTACCTATATTTTTAAATATTTGTTCCTACTTGTTGTATTAGTGAAATATTTTTCAGTTTTAGCTCTTTTATTATAATAATTCCTTTTAGCTGTAAGTGAACATGTTAGTATTCAGTGGGGTTAAAACTAGGAAATACCTTTTACTTATTTCTCATGATTATCACATTTTCATGAACAATGCTCATTTATTTTAAAAAGTTAGGTCAAAGTATATTTCTGTTCTTTCATATATCTGAATGAGTCTCTTATTTTTCAACTGTCAGTTTGAATATTTACCCTTTTTTTTTTAACTTGCAGATACCTCATATATGTTTCTTGAATTTTGTTAAATGCATTTTACTGCTTAAATTCATTGTTTTTAGTGTACAGTTCTGCAAATTTTGACAGATATATAAGAACATATAATCACAAACATAATTAAGCTGTATAAGGATCTATCACTCCCCCAAATTTCACAGTCAGCTGCTACTCCAATTCTAACCCCTGGCAACCAATTTTTACCAATTTTCTGACAGTATACGTTTTGCCTTTTAAGAATGCCATGTAAGTGGAGTCCTGTACTATGTAGCCTTTTTAGTTTGGCTTCTTTCACGTAGCATGGTGCATTTGAGATTCTTCCAGGTTGTTATGTTGGTCAGTACTGTTCCTTTTTTATTGGTGACTAGAATTCCATCACAGTCCATTTCTTCATTCCTCAGTGTAGCAGTATTTGGATTCTTTCCAGTTTTTTATAATGATGAATAAAGCAGCTATAAACATTCATGTACAAATTTTTATGTAAGCATAGATATTTATTTTATTTGGGTAAATGTCAAGTGGTCAAGTAGCTCTCAAGCAACAGTGTATAATCCACATTCTATGTTGGTGTGCTACATACAGTTCAGTAGATTTGGTTGATCGGGAGGAGCCAAATAGATTAGGTTCATACTGTGCACAAAAGCATTTGTATCCCATCTGAGAGGCACTGACCTTAGGAACTCCACTCTTATATTGGGGGTGATACATTTTTAATATCTAATATTAATTCACTTTTATCCTGAAAGCTAACATGAGATTTCTGGAGTATAGGCCAACTATAATTTTTACTCTCAGCAATGACTGCGTCAGTTTTCTATCCCCCATCTTCCTCATGCAAGGCAATATGGTGAGGATCACAAGTCTTTCTGTGTGTGTAAAGGGGATTTCTTGCACTGTAGAAAAGGAACCTTGAAATTATGAATCTGGGAGTTTATATAGGACAGCTCTCCAGCTTTACCCTTCCCTCCTGACAGAAAAACCTCATCTCCTGAATGTAAATACATCCTTTAGAATGTAAAGAACTGTCTCTAGGGTTCATCCCTTATTGAAATGTAAACACAGAACTCTGGGGACATAAATCCCCTTGGAAGTCTCTCACTATTCAGTCATCCTTGAACTTCCAAAGCTTATTGTTTAGTTCAACTTCCATTTTTTCTTTGCTCACTTCAGCTAAAGAGAGGAACAAATTATAGACTATCTTTCTAATGGGATAACTCTTATTGTGAGTAAAACTGCCTACTTAATTTATAACTGAGGGCCACATAATAACTGAAAGTGTTTCCTTAAAAACTCGAATATTTCTTACAACCATCCCTAGGAGCAAATCACACTGGTTTTTTTGTTTTTTGTTTTTGGTTGATTTCTGCTTTTCACACAGGAAGCACAAATACTGAGGGCATACATGCTACCCTTGGAAACAAAGAGTTTACAGTTGTTGGGGACCCTCCAGAAAGGATGGAGGTCACTCAGGCGGCACAGGTTGCCTGGCTCCCCTGTGTGCTCTGCCAGCTGGGAAGCCTCACGGCCCCTAGTTCACGGTACTTCAGTTTAGTCCTTGTTTGCAGAGAGACCACTTGAGAGCAGTCAGTTAAATCTGGCCTACCTGTCCAGTTCATTTGCCGTATAAGAGTTGTAGAAAAGTTTGAAAGTATCTTACATGGAAGGTACAGGAGCTGGGCCATGCCCTACTGGCTCATGGTTGGGGCCATCAGGTGAGGGATGCAGTTAATTAACTTTCAGAGTTCCCTGTAGTTTGTGAGAGCAGCTCCAGGGTGCCTTTTCCTTTGGGGTAAGGGAAAGGCTTCTGGAATAGTTACGAAAGACAAAGATTAAAAAGATTAACCTGGGTCTTGTGGGTGAGGTCTTCTAGTGATTCTGCCCTGTCCCTAGCTGTAGGTCTGGCCCTCACACCTGTATACCTCTTTCTCCTTATCCCTAGAAGGGTAGAGAGTGTTTTTTTCTGCAATGCATTTTCATCAAAGCTCTAATGAGATTCATAGGTTTGTTGTCTTTCTCCCAGCAGTTTAAGGACTTTGTTTTGAAAGCAAGATGGGGAAGACTCAGGCAGGCTCTCCTACAGTAACTGCTAGCACCCTTGCCCTGACTCCTGGTCTGACTTTGTCATCAGGTTTTTGGAGACGAGCTTGTAAGTGGGTGTGAATTCCCCTTGTGTTTGCAGCTCCCACAAGCTCCATGTCTTCTCACTAGCCCACACTTGGCCTTCAGCAACTCATTAAAAATGTTAGATGAATTTTCTGACAAATGTCAGGCAGCATTTGCCATTTACTTCAGGTAAGCAAGTGCTTACCACCCATCTCTCCTTGGGGATCTTCTCTTTCTTAAGATTTCTGATTAGTTGGTTGCTTTGTGACCTCAACTCACCGTTGCCCCTCTCTTATTGGAAGTACTTCTCTTTTCTTAGATTTCTGGTTAGTCAGTTGTCTTCTGACTTCTGTTCTCTGGTGGGTCAAAAAAGCGCTGAAATTTCTACATTGTCCAACTTTTTGTTGTTCTTTACAGCTTTCTACCTTCTAAATGGAACTATTTTACTTTTGACCGAATCATGCATAGCTGATAGCCTTACTTTAATTTTTTTTTGATTCCTGTCTTATAAGTAAAATTGGTGTATGAACATAGGTTTTGTTGTTGGCTATATCAAAGTCTGGAATATTAGTGTGGGAGATAATGTATTAGAGATCCATTTTTAAATTTTATTAAATACATTTTATTTCTGTGTGGAAATTTTCAAAGAGACCTATAATGTATTTATTCATAGGATCATTAAATTTTAGAGCCAGAAGAAAGCATAGAAACTACCTAGATTAAATACTTCATTTTATCTGAGAGATGCTGATTAAATAGCTTTTTTAAGGTGACAGAGCTGGTTAGTTACAGAAGAATGAGGACTAAACTTTGTGTGTGCTTTAGTTCATTGCTTTGTCCACACTGCCCTTATTTATGAGATTACCAGTTTGCATTTTTTAATTTATTGTTTATTTCTTTCTAGGAGCAAACTCTTCATTTTTCTTCAGTAGAAACAACCTTATAGGGGTTAACATGAAACTGAAGTTGAGCCAGCTCATCTTTATCTGTAAAATGAGGAATTGGATAATATTTAATAATAAGATTGTTTAAAAAATTAAGTTATGACCCTAAATAATTAGGCCTTCTGAAATTTCTTTAGTAAAATCACTTTCATTTCTTTTTTATTTTTTTTATTTATTTTTTTTATTTTTAAAGATTTTATTTATTTATTTGAGACAGAGAGAATGAGAGAGAGCGAGTACATGAGAGGGGGGAGGGTCAGAGGGAGAAGCAGACTCCCTGCCGAGCAGGGAGCCCGATGCGGGACTCGATCCCGGGACTCCAGGATCACGACCTGAGCCGAAGGCAGTCGCTTAACCGACTGAGCCACCCAGGCGCCCCACTTTCATTTCTTAAATGTGGTGACTTGAACATAGTACTTTGAATTTTTTTGAAAAAATAAAAGCTTATTGCTTTTAAAATAGATTTTCTAATTTTGACTTATCTCTTGGTGTTATAATAAGCTCTTTTGGGTTTTCTGTATAACTATTTTTCTCTCATTTTAGGGAAAACTGTCACTTATTTCTTCTTTAACTTATGGTGGAAACAGAACAGCTGTTTTGAAGATTGCCCTACAAGGTATACAATTTAATAAGACCGTTTCTGCTTAACCTTTTCTTATAATCTACAAATGGATAACTTAATATATATATGTACACACATAAGCACAAAAATGATTTCTAATGGGTAATACATACACAGTAGTGTAAAGAACTATAGAATGAAATTTTTTTTCACTAAATTTTTCTGTACCATCTATCCTCTCTCCTCTCACCCATTTCTTCTATTTTACTTCAGATTCCTTTAATCTCATATCTAAACTGTTACAATAGCTAACTGGTCCCCCTACTTCTGGTTTCACTAGTGTGACCTAAACAGCTTAGCAAACTTAACTTATAAAACACTCCTTTCAGCATGTTATTTTTTACCTAGGTGTAGTTATATGAGATTATGCCTTCTTCCTAGTAACCCTGAAATAATCCTGGTAGGCTAGGAAGAGCTATGGAGTATTTGAGGACCAAAATAGATCTCATCTGAAGCCTAAAATTGGATTGAAGAATGGCCTGCAGCAGTGAATGGGAAACAGACTTTGAACTACAACATTCTGTAACTACTGAAAACCAGTTACATATTAGACACTGTTCTAGGTATGGGAGATATAGCAGTGACCAAAATAAAGCCCTTGCCTCCATGAAGTTTACATTTTAGGGGGGTAAATAAATTCAATAAATAATTACATAAGTAATATTAGGTAGAAATGTGGTCTGAAGAAAAAAATAGCATGATAAGGTAGTGGGCCTGATGAATCATCCTTTTGATACGTTGTTAGGTTTAATTTACAGATATTTGATTAAGGATTTTTACATCTAAGTTTATGAAGGATATTGTTCCATGTCTTTCTTTTCTTGTAATGATTTTGAGTGATTTTGGTATCAGTGTAATGCTGTTCTCCTGAAAAGAGCTGTTAAGTGCTTCCTTCTCTTCTATATTCTGGAAGAGTTTATCTATAATTGCTTTTATTTCTTCCTTAAATGTTTGTAGAATTCATCAGTGAAGCCAACTGTACGTGAAAATTTCTTTATGGGGAAGTTCCAAACCCTAAGTTCAGTGTAATTTATTTGTTAATAGGGCTTTTCTTTTTTATCTTTTTTTCCTTGAGTAAGCTTCAGTAGTTTGTGTTTCTAAAGGAATTTATCTGTTTCATCTTAGTTGTCAAGTATATTGGCATAAAGTTATTCATAATATATATTTGATATACTTTTAATGTTGGCAGGGTTTATAGTGATGTCCTGTTTCATTCATTGATAATTTGTGACTACTCTTTCATTTTTTTTCCCCGATCATTCTGGCTAGATATTTATTTTATTGATCTTTAAAATCAGCTTTTCTTTTCATTGATTCTTCTCTGTTTTTAGGTTTTCTGTAACATTTTACTTTCAGTTAATCTGTTAATTCCATTCAGTGTACTGTTAACTTCTAATACTATATTTTTCAATTCTGAAAGTTCATTTTGAGACTTTTTTTTTATATCTTCCATTTCTCCTCATCATGTTCATGGCTGGTAATTTTTTTACTGGATACCAAACATTTAGAATTTTATATTAGCAAATGTTGGATTTATTTGTTATCCATCTTTTAACTATTATGTGTCTTTATTTTGAGATACATCTAATTTTCTTGGAATCAGTTTGATTAGCTTTGTTGGGGTGGGTATAGAACAGCCTTTATTTTCAGCCTAATTTGGCCATATCACTAAGGAAATACCCTTCTGACAATTCTACTCTATGCCTTGTGTGTGTGGATTCCATTCTGTCTGGTTGAAACGAGAAAATTCCTAGCCCCGTGTGAGTCTCAGAATTGTTCTGCCTATTCCTTTCAAGTGGTTCTTCCTCTTCATGAGGTACTTGCCTTCCATATACTTGGAGATAAATATTCATCCAAAGACCCGAAGGCACCCATCTTCAGATCGCCAGAGCACTCTGTTTGTGCTGCTGTCCTGCCTTCAGCACTCTGCCCTGCACATTCTAGCCACCTTGGTATCCTCATATCTGAACTCTTCCGAATTCAGGGAAGGCTGCTGAGCTTTGTTTGGATTTTAGCTCCATTTTCTGCTGCCTGGAAACTCTCCAGGAAATAAGATAGGGATATTGCCTTATTTTCCTTCTCAGATCACTTTCCTGCACTCCCTGTTGTCTGATACCTGAAAACTGTTGTTTCATATATTTTTTCTTAGTTTTCTAGTCATTTTAAGACTGGAGAATAAACCCAGTCTCTATTAGTCCATCATGGCCAGACACAGACATCTGATAGGTTATTTAAGATATTAACAGTGTGTTATGTTATGGTTAGAAACCACTGTGCTTTTGTATTTGAGAAACATTAGTGTTTCAGTTTATGTATACACTTGGTTTGAGGAGTTGAAGAGGTCAGTGTCAGCTATGTGGTAGTTGTTTTACTATGAGCGCCACCAGACCTGACAGAGTAGCAGATTCAAGAGTTCTAGGTTACACAAAAAAGACTATCATTTTGGGAAAGATCTTTCATATACTCTATAGATGCATAAAAATCTGATATGATGGCAGTTTCTTGGAGTAGTTGAATATTTGAAAGCTGATATGAATGAGTCTTTCCTCAGATGGTATAATTCAGTCTTAGCATTTGGCCCTGCTGCATTGCTCATAGAAGGTGATCTCTGGAGAATGAACATTGTGGAAATTCTTTTTTTTCCCCCAATTAAATTTCATTTTTAAAATTATAGTTTGGTCTTTACCCACACTCTGCTCTTTTACTCTTTCATTTGTGCATGCTGGAGGAGAAAATACACTTACCTATATTAAAACTTAACGTGCTGAGGGGCGCCTGGGTGCCTCAGTCCATTAAGCATATGCCTTCAGTTCCAGTCATGATCCCTGGAGTCTTGGGATCAAGCCCCAGGTCGGGTTCCTTGCTCACCGGAGAGCCTGTTTCTCCCTCTCTCTCTGCCTGCCACTCCCCCTGCTTGCGCTCTCTCTCTCTCTGTCAAATAAATAAATTAAAACAAAACAAAATAAAAACCTTAATGTGCTGACACTGTAGATTACTAGAAGCTCAGAAAAAGTAAACTACTTTGGGAGTGATACGTTATATAGTATAAAAATTGAATAATTACCATATTCAGTTTCTTTTTATTATAAACATGGAAGATAAATAGAATGCAGTTATTTTATGTTGTTAATGTGATATTTATAGAAATTTATAAAATGTATTCTAGTTGAAGCTTGTTACAATTTTGGTTTTAGTACCTAATAGTATTCTGTGCATGATCTTTGCAATACTTCAGGTATTAAACTAAAAGTGAATTATAAAAATTTTAATTATCCTTCATAATTATATTTTGAAATAACTATAGTTTTTAGAATGTAGTTGTCATCAATTTTCTTGTGTGTGTAAAACTGTTGTATCTAATTAGTATTTTTCTGTATGTGTGTTTTTCTCTATAGAAGAAGAAAATTCAAATTCAGAGATCAACACCATCAATGTATTATTTTTTGGAAAATTAGCAAAGGACTGTGCAAAAGTTTTCTATGAAGGGGTAAATTATTTTCTTGTTACTTTTTGTTTTAGGAGTAGATTTTAAATTATTGATGTTACATTCATCCTGTAGATCTTTTTTTTTTTTTACATTATATATTTGCAGGTATGTAAAAAGGATACTTAAGCAACAGCTTTAAAATTGCAACATTCCAAAGAGGTTGTAAAACTTATCACTGACATAAAAAGGGATAATATTTCCTTTCACTTCATTTTAATATTTAGTATTTAACAGAATATCTTAAAGATATGTACATTTTCCCCTCAAAAAATAATTCTTAACAACTAAAAAATAATATAAGCTATAACTGTATTTTTGTATTTTCTGATCATTGTTTCAAAATACATGCCTGTTAAATCCAAAATGCTACCAAACTGAACCAACAGCATATTAAAAGGAGTGGACACTGTGACCAAGTGGGATTTATCCCAGGAGTACAGTTTGGTTCAGCTTAAAAAAATTAGTCCTTGTAACATATCACATTAATAGAAAAAGGGAAAAAACAGATGGTCATCTTAACTGATACACAAAAGGCATTTGATAAAATCCTATACTCTTTTGTAATCAAAACACTCGGGAAACTAGGAATAGAAGGGAACTTCCTCAGCATACTGTAGGGCAATTATGAGAAACTCACAGGTAACATCAAACTGAGTGGTGAAAGACTCAAAGTTCCTCACTAAGATTAGGAACAAGACAAGGATGCTCCCTTTACCACTGCTCTTCAACATTCCACTGAAAGTTCTAGCCAGAGCTAGTTAAATAAGAAAATGAAATAAGACACCTAACTGTAAAGGAAGAAGTAAGACTGTCTGTCTGCTCAGATGACAGGATTCTGTATTTGAAAATCCCAAAGAATCCAAAAGAAGGCTGCTGGGCTTGATAAATGAATTCAGCAACATTGCAGGGTACAAAATGGACACATAAAAATCTGTTGTTACTAGACACCCACAATAAGTGATCTGGAAAGGAAACTATGAAAACAATTCTATATGTGTTAGCATCTGAAGGACTAATATACCGATTAATAGATATAACCAATGAGGTGAAAGATTTCTACACTGAAAGTTAAAAAACATTGCTAAAAGAAATTAAATAAGAGCTAAATAAATGGAAAGACATCCATGTTCTTGGGTAGGACAATATTGTTAAGCTATCAATACCAACAAAAGTGATGTGTAGATTTAGTGCAATCCCTAGCAAAATTCTAACTATCTTTAGAAATGGAAAGGTTGACTCTCAAATTCATAGACCATTTCAAGGGGCCCTGAACAATCTAGGAGAAGAGTAACAGAGTCAGAGGACTCACACTTGATGATTTCAAAATTTACCACAAAGATACTGTAATCAACAGTGTGGAACTGTTATAAGGATAGACATGTATACCAACAAAACAGAATTAAGGGTCAAGAAATAAACCCATTTATCTATGGGCAGTTGATTTTTGACAAAGGTCCTACATCCACTCAGTGTAAAATGATAACAGCCACTGTGGAAAACAGTTGGGCATTTCTTCATAGAATCATGGTATGACCCAGCAACCCCACTACTAGGTATACAGACAAAATAATTGAAAAGAACTCGAACAGATATTTGTATAGCAATGTTCAGTGCAGCATTACAGTAGTTCCCCCCCTTTATCTGTGGGGACAGGTTCCAGGACCCCCACTGGAAGCCTGAAACCATGGATAGTACTGAACCCTATATGCACTGTTTTTCCTATATATACACACCTATACGAAGTTTAATTTATAAGTTAGGCACAGTAGGAGATTAAGAACAATCCCTAATAAAACAGAATATTTATAGCAATATGCTGTAATAAAATTAATGTGAATGTGCTTTCTCTCTCAAAATATCTTATTGTACAGTGCTCACTCTTCTTGTGATGATGTGAGATGATAAAATGTGTACATGATGAGATGCAGTGAGGTGAATGGCGTAGGCATTATGATGTAGCCTTAGGCTACTACTGACCTTCTGACAGTATGTCAGAAGGAGGGTCATCTGCTTCTAGACCACGGTTGACAGTAGGCATCTGAAACCATGGAAAGCAAACTCGTGAATGAGGGGGACTACCTCATTAATAATAGCCAAAAGGTGGCAATAACCCAAGTGTCCATTAGATGAATGGATAAAGAATGTGATATAGTCATATAATGGAATATTATTCAGCCATAAGAAGGAATGAAGTTCTGATACATGCTGTATCATGGATGAACCTTGGAAAGGTTATGCTAAGTGAAAGAAGCCAAACACAAAAGGACAACTATTGTATGATTCCACCTATATGAATATGCGGAATAGGCAAACTCACAGAGACAGAAAGTAGATGAGAGGTTACCAAGAGCCGGGGTTGGTGGGGGGAATGGGGAGTTTTTGCTTAATGGTTAAAGAATTTCCACTTGGGATGAAGAAAATGTTTTGACAGTAGGTAGTGGTGATGGTTGCACACATTGCGATTGTAATTAATGCCACTGAGTTATACGATTAAAAATGGTTAAAATGGCAAGTTTTATATTTTGCCTCAGTTAAAAAAAATACATGTCTGCAGTGCAATATTTAGGCAATACGGATCTATAATAGAAAATTAGAGTCCTTCAAGGTTCTTATACAGCATACTTTCTGTTAGAGAAAGGTAGACAGTGAACAGATAAACATGATTTTTCAAGTGGCAGACAGTGCTGTGGAGAAAATAAAGCAGTGGGAGAGAGAGATGTGAGGATATATTTTAATTTGATGAAGACTCTGATAAGGTGACATTTGAGCAGAAACTTGAAAGAAGTGAAGTGGTCCTTAGATATTTGGAGTAAGAGTATTCTTGACCAGGAATTTACAAGTACAAAGGCTCAGAAGTATGAGTGCATGTTCCAGACACAGCAGGGGGTCAGTGTCTAAATCCCAGCAGATGTGACTGGGGCAAAATGCTTAACTCTATTCAGCCTTTTTTTATTTTAATCTTGAAAGATTAAAAAATTCTTTAGGGGCGCCTGGGTGGCTCAGTCATTAAGCGTCTGCCTTCGGCTCAGGTGATGAACCCAGGGTTCTGGGATCGAGCCCCACATCGGGCTCCCTGCTTGGCGGGAAGCCTGCTTCTCCCTCTCCCACTCCCCCTGCTGTGTTCCCTCTCTCGCTGTCTCTCTCTCTCTGTCAAATAAATAAATAAAATATAAAAAAAAAATTCTTTAAAAATTTTTTTGTTTAAAAAATTAATCTTTAGATTAAAATCAATAAAAATTTTAAAATCTTTTAAGAATCAAGATAGGAGTAATAATACCTCTCTTTCTGGATTGTTGTTAGGATTAGAGATAAATGTACCTACTGCTGGAACTACATGGGAACTCAGTGTGTGGCCACTGTTGTTATTATTGTTATGACTTTTTATCTTAGTGTAATTGGATGCAGCCCCAATGAGGAAAAGCAGGCTAGAGAAAGGGCAGCTGGGTCTGAGCCCAAGAGTGTGGCTTCCAGTTAATTACTGGGTTTTGAGTAACCATTGATAATCTCCAGATGTAAATTTAATCAAATATAAAGTAAGAATGTTGGATTAGCTGAGAATTCTGAATAATTCTGGCATACTATGGTTTCATAAACTGATCTTTTATAAATAATTCAGTGGACTTCAGAAATGATGCTATTTTTGTAAAACCTGTCTTTGGAGTCTAGAATAAAGATTTATTTCACAGAAACTGTCAGAACATCTACCTTTTTTTTTTTCTTCTAACAAGTATTTTGGGAATAGATTGCCAAACTCAAGTTTTGTGTTTTTTGCCAAAGCTTCTGTAAAGAGGTGGTAAATCAGTTAATGTTTTCCTAATTTATAATTTGAATAAAGGAAAGGAGAATCAGTGGAATGATTTTTCCCTTCTGTGAAAAGTTTGTTATTAAATTCCTGGTGTATCTTAAAATCTTACTTTAGAATTTAAGGAAATAAGGTATTTTCTATGTGATTCACGTCCTAAAACTCCTATGACATTTCATCAGACTTTCTCTTAGAATGATAAGTAGAGTAATTTTAGGTACAATTTTAAAAATTGGAGATACATAGTTCTAATCTAGTTGGTATGGCACAGCAAAGTTCCAGAAGCAAATATACTGAAAAAGAGGTGTGACCTGACAGTCTGCTTCAGGCCACTCAGGTAGGGTAGGAATCAGTAGCTCTATATAGCTATTTTGATGGGGCACTTTTGTGGGTGCCTCCAGTAAAGGGATGTTGTCATTACTATTATTCCCATTATTCTTATTCTTGCCCTTGAAGGCATGACTTTATTTCGGCTTAGGTAAAATAATTAATATTCATGATGACAGTTCTGAATTACTAAGAATTCAGTGCTCAAGAAGATCTGAAGTCATGCCATTTTTTAAGGGCCATATTCTTCAGAAATGAGGTGGAGAGGGAGGAAAAGGGAGAGAATATGGATGAAAGCGAGAACATTAGGTGTTTAATGGGAAGATTCACTCATTTAGAAAAACAACGTATCATTTTTCCTTTGAACTAGAAAGTGGTATGTTACAATACTTTGTTGAGATAGGGGAAAATGAAAAATACATCAGTTCAGTGACTAATTTGCGTGTGATACTAAGCTATAACAGATATTTTCTCTGACTCCCCATCCTTCCAAAAAAAAAAAAGTAAACAAAACCAAACAAAATGCTGTTAACAGCTTCCTTATTCTTCAGGCTGTTAGGTATGCACAGGCAAGTTTTGCCCTAATACATTGAATTAATAATACTTAGTTTTCATGAATTACAGAATATATGAAATAAATATGAAATGTAGTTTTATGTTCTTATCTCAGATGAACTCTTTCCATTCTGTAAAGAGGTCCACTTTTTTTTTTTTTTTTTAAGATTTTATTTATTTATTTGACAGAGACACAGCGAGAGAGGGAACACAAGCAGGGAGAGTGGGAGAAGGAGAAGCAGGCTTCCCGCCGAGCAGGGAGCCCGATCCGGGACTCGATTCCAGGACCCAGGGATCATGACCTGAGCCCAAGGCA